AACCTGAAAAAACATCTCAACAAACATTTATGCATAAAAGATCTAGGGGTACCAAAATATTTCCTAGGGATTGAAATTGAAAGATTTCTAGCAGGAATATCTCTCAGCCAAAGGAAATATGTTCTTGAACTTGTATCAAATTCTGGATTGTCAGGATGCAAGCCAAGTGTCATCCTTGTCGAATAAAATTCAAAACTCACCACTTAGGAATACGATAAAGTGGAATCATTGATAAGAGCTTGAAAATACATATTTTTTTAGTAATTCAATTGGATTATTTGTGGAAAAATGTGTTTAATTTGAGTTAATTACTTCATAAATACCTTTTACAGGATCACGGGCTTCTTTTGAGTATTTTCAGGTTAAAAAGGATATTTGAAGGAAGAAGAATGATTTCGATGGAATTCATGATGAGTAGGAACTAACGGTGTAAGAATCGGAGTTGAAACGAGAAAGTTGTGACGCGTTGAAGATAAGATGTAAAACCTGGAAATTTGTCAAGATGAGCATGCTTCGAAGTTTTTATCATAGCTTAAGCTGTAGAAATCATAATTTGATGATTCTTGTGGCATTGGAAATATTATTCAGAGAGCTACAAAGTTTGTGTTGATGACTTTGCCAAATTCTGAAGATTTTAGACTCATGGGACAAAAAAAAAGATCGCGGCAGCGATGGATTACGGGCCTATTTGGGTTATTGTATTTTTCTAGTCCGAATTTCAATGGTTTAAGACATTTAATTATTTCCTAATTAACCTCCAAACCCTAGCACTATAAATAAGGGTCTTTATTTAGTTTTTAGTGAGATTAGAGAAGGAGAAAGAGTGGCTACTATTTTAGAGATCAGAATTCTTGCAGTTTTCGTTCTCCAATTAGAGAAGTTTTTTTATTTTCTTTCTTGAACTCATTTTTGTTAATACAATGGTTGTTCTTATTATTGCAATTATGAACTAAATTTCTTTTCTAGGGCTAAATATGTAGCCCAATTTATGAATATGTCTTGATTTTATTGTTGTTAATTTTAATTGAGCACTAATTCTAAGTTTTATTATTGTGTGTAATGCTTTCTATTCTTTTGGATCCGAAAGTTGATTGATATCATGGGTTGGGTTGAGATCGAGAGATGAAACCTGATTAGTCTAAGGTAATAAAACCATAGATTGAGCGAATGCTAGAGATAGGTTACCACGATCTGTGAGGCTTTGGTAAATTCCATAGAAGTTAATGATCTCTTAGCTTCTAAATTAAACTTAGAGATATTTTGGGTTGTTGTTAAGGGTTAATTTGCTAATTGTTTGAGAGAAAGTTAATGGAATATTAGGGAGTTTGGCCTTTAGAATTAGTTTAATTAGGTTAACAATAATTGTCAATGCATAGGATTTAATTGGTGTGAAATCTATGCCCTAGGTTTAGTTATATTGATCTTTTTACCAGAGTATTAATACAATTATGCTTTTGTTTAGTTTTTAGTTTGTTTTATTTTTCATTAAATTCATTCTTAAAATTTTATTTCATCAAATATACTAAGTTTGGTACTTGGTAGGTAATTCTCTTGGGATTTGACACTCGTTTACTTGAGCTTTACTACTTGCGCGATTTCATAAACTTGCGAATAACCTATTAATCATCGACAAAAATTGACCTAGCATTAGAAGATGCGTCTCACTATCAGAGACTTGTAGGATGTCTCATTTATCTCACTATGACACGACCAGATATCAGCTACACAGTACACATCCTCAGTCAGTTCATGCATGGACCAAAACAGTCTCATATGGATGCAACAATAAAGGTAATAAAGTATTTGAAAGGTTGTCTTGGCCTTGGACTTCTTCTACCATGAAATGCTAATTTAAATATCACAGCCTATTGTGATTCTGATTGGGGCACATGTCCAATGACAAGAAAGTCACTTATTGGTTTTTGCATAAAACTTGAGGAGCTCTCATCTCCTGGAAGACAAAAAGATAGTCCACTTTATCTCTTTCATCAGTAGAAGCTGAATACATATCTATGACTAAAACTACATGTGAGATCACTTGGATCCTAGGATTATTGGGAGATTTGGAGGTACAAGTCAAAAGACATATTCAGTTGTCTTGTGATAATAAGGCAACAAATGACATTGCAGCAAATCTAGTTTTCCATGAGAGAACAAAGCATATAGAGATAGACTGCCACTTCGTTAAAGGGAAAATTCAAGAAGGGATGATCAAAACAATGTACATTCAAACTTCGGAACAGCAAGCCAACATTTTTACAATACCATTTTGCAGCAAACAACATTCATATCCATTACGCTAGTTTGACGTTTATGACATACAAACCACAAGCTTGAGGGGGAGTATGGAGATATGAACAGTAAAGGAAAACTAATATTTGACACTAATGTCAAATATTATGTTTAATTAGAATGCTGATTATGTGCGAATTACATCCATGATTTATGGGATTATGACATTAAGGCAAATTATGTAATTGCCTTTTACAGATATTTTTAGTTGTATAAATAGGACTTGTACAATTCATATAAAATATACAAACATAGTTCTAGAATTCATTTCTTCTTAGACATTCTCTGACAGACTCTACTACTGTTGCCTCTTCTTTCTTCTTCTTCTTCTTCTTCTTTAATCTCTGACAATAATATTAAAAAATTTTACATTCATATTTTTATCCTTACTATTTGAATATACAATTGTTTTGTACTTAACATTTTTTTTTTTTTTAATCATGTGGGTTGATCAGAAAAGTTTCAAAACATTGATTAAGTAAAATTCAAAAGGTACTGGTCCTAAATTATGTCTAGGGATATATTTATTAAGATTACTAAAATACAAATTTTTAATATATGAATGGATTAATAAAAAAGTGTATGACATGAGAAATATTTTTGTTTGATAATATTGTCTTTAAGACATACATTTCACTTTGAAGTAATAAAAAGTAGTAAACTATCTCTGGGTGGTTGAACTGTTCGATAAAGATTATTGGATGTATTAATCAAGAGGTCTTGAGTTCAAGTCTCTTCTCGATTGCTAATAGAGGTAGACATTAGAACTTTTATCCGACTAATAGTTTCAAGGTTCCAAGGGATTAGTTAGGAAAATATTTATTATGAAAAAAAATGATTTGTATAATTTGTATTCAGTGAGGCAGCTGATGAATTTGAATTGCAGACTTCCGATTTCAATTTTATAATAGTTACATTTGATGTCATTAAACAATGCAACGTTGAAATATGGTTCACAAACTTTTAGAAACGTGTGCCAAAGACTGGTTGTGGTCTCCAGGTAGCAACGTTGACTTTGAAACGTCAAATCAATTCAATACCATGACATACTGTTGGAATAAATGCATAAATGCCCAAGAAGAAGATGAAGCAAATAAGCAGTATTCACCTTTTTCGTTTAGTCTATTTCCAATTACATCATATTGACGACAATTTAATTTGGAGCATTCATACAGGATATGATAAACGCACACCCAACCAGTTATTCTAATACATCACCAATTACATCCTTCCCAAGTTTCAACTACTACAAATTTATAAATTATAATATAACTGCTTGCATCGTCTCAAATTATTAGAAATGACTTTGTAAAACTCAAGACGGTTAGAGGCCGATGATGCATCTCTCTAAACCAGGGAAATAATTAACCATTAACAATCTGGTAAATCATAATTTTTCATTAGTTTTATTGTGCTTAAATTTCTAGTTAGTTTAAGTAGTCAAACTAATCAACAAATTTCTTGACTAATCATAATCAATTTTACATATCAAATCCTTTCTTCAAATGCTATACGTCTTTGGCAGCCAAAATTGAAGATTAAGAATTACTGTATGTTGAATACAAGGAAACCCGTCATTTAGTGTTCATAATACAAATTAATTTGAACGCTAACTAATTAAGGTAACTACACAAATATGTGAAACATTTTAATGATCAGTAAACAGGCACGTGTAATATCTTATTCACATTGAGCCAAAATCCTATGTAAAAGTTGGTAGAATAGTTACAAATAATTAAATCAACTCGTGGCCTGAGTTATACGTATAATATTTACTGAAAAATTAATTTCAATTTATTACGTACGGCCTGTGAGAGTGCCAATAAACGTTTGACAATTTCGGTGGTGGCTATCAATTCTTCATTACATATATACAGAATAAATATAGAACTATATAAGGTATCTTTCATGAGGTTTCATCTGCAAATAATTTAATAACATTTATGCCCATCATATGTTAATTGTATGATGAAAATTCTAAGGGGCTGGTCGGTAGGTACATAACGAAGAATTATGAATCTATGACGAGCTTCCATATATCTTCCAAATCATGCTGGGGAGGAACTTATTTCATGCACGAAAATGTACTTTATAATAAAATTTTGGATTATACATGTCGACAAATTTGACACTCTTCTGCTAAAATATTGGGCATTCTAGACGTCTCCAACAAGAAATAATCTGGTTGATGATCGTACGATGCAGACAGAACCAAATAGAGATCTGGAGTTGAAAGTCCATCAATTGACTTTTGGCTTCTCAGCTGCTTTATTTTTTGACTTCATAGTTCAACCATTTTATAATAGATTAGATCTTTGACTTATTAAATATGATAGCTTATGTTTATTTGCTAATGTTATGCTGAGGGATGCAATACCCATAACCCTCAAATTTATTGCTTTTACTGTAAAATCAAAGCATCAGATTAATTAAATTACCAAGATGATGACATAACATTATCGATTTTATTTCCACCGATGATTTACATTTACATCCATCTTTAATTTTAATTAATCAATTAACCACCGACTCTTTTTATGATTCAACTGCTGCGAATGGAAGTAATCAGCTGCTCATGCATCCACCAACAAACGAAATCCAAACCTCAAGATTTCTTTATTCAAAACCAAAACCGGATTCGTCATCATAAGTAGCATGATGCTTAGCTTTACAATGCATTCAGTTATATCTGCATGTTCAAGGTGTAATTCTTGGAAAGCTAAAAGCCAAAAGATGGAGAAACTCTCAACCCAACTCTTGTATTGTTTCTTCTTCATTGTTCTTATTGTTTTTCAGTCATCCCCGGCAACATCTCAAGAAGTTGGTAAGCACTTATATTAGGCATGTATCCATGAGAATGGAGATACTTGCAAGCAAATTCATTCTTTTAATGTTAAATATATGATTTAATGTGTGTTTGTATAATTTCATATTTTAATTCTCTCCGTTTGATATATGGTTTAATGGTGCAGAGGATGAGACAGAGTTTAATTATAAAGCAGGCGGTGAGAATGGGCCAGAACGATGGGGAGAGCTTCACAGCGAATGGAGTGCTTGCGAAAATGGATCAATGCAGTCTCCAGTCGATTTGTTGCATGAGAGAGTTGAAGTAGTGTCTCATTTAGGGAGACTTAAAAGAAACTACAAGCCCTCTAATGCTACTCTAAGAAATAGAGGCCATGCATGATGGTAATTAATTGAAACGAGAAAAAAAATAAAAAAAATACTCAATCTTTATATACTTGTTAATAAAGGGCAAATGAAAATGATCTAATTGAATGCATAAGATCATCTAGTAAAATATGTAATTCCGATTCCATCCATTAAAATGCATCACATGATCTATATATTTTCTATATAGATGCATTGATGCATAGAATATTAATATTTATCTCTTTTGCGTGCAGTTAAAGTGGGAAGAGGGTGCCGGAACACTTGAGATAAATGGAACTGAATATATACTCAACCAGGTCCACTGGCTTTCACCTTCTGAGCACACTCTCAATGGGGAGGGGTACTATAACTATATATCTTCAGCTAATAATCACTCTATTGCTTAAATTGGGAGATTTTACTTTCTCTTTTGATTTACTTCTTTAAAATTTATGAACTGCAGATTTGATCTAGAGGCTCACATGGTTCACGAAAGCACAGATGGGAAAGTTGCAGTAGTTGGGATCATGTACAAAATCGGACGACCTGATTCTTTCTTGTCATCGGTAATTAATTAATTACTAATTGAGGAAGCAGCTATAAAATTTATAACTCTATATATCCATCTCTCAAGTAATCCTTCAAATGATGATTCTTTGTTTTGTTTAATAGATAAAGGATCATTTAGCAGCCATTGGTGGCAGCACTGAAAGAGATAAAGTGGTGGGTATGATGGATCCAAGGGGCATAAAGATAGGCATTAGGAAGTATTACAGATATATTGGCTCTCTTACTATTCCTCCTTGCACTGAAAATGTTCTCTGGACAATTGTCAGAAAGGTTTGCTACCTACAATATATTAACTTATTCAACTTACCAAAAACTTGTTCATTTTCGATCAAGTGGTTATTTTTATATTTATATATCTTCTCATGAATTCTTAATGTGATTAGGTGAGAACGGTAATATAGAGGTTCAAAGACCCGTGTATATGTGACTGAAATCCTCTATGAATATTGAGGCAATCTGTTTCATTATA